TAACTGAAGATAAAAGATTTGTTCATCGGGATTACAGATGAATTATACTGTCCATTCGGAACTGCCTGATTACCAGCATTTGATAAGCCCTTTCTTACCAGTCTGTCATTACTTTAGCAATGTGCAATTCTCATTAGTTCAGAAAATACACTGTGAGATAGATGAAAAAAAAAACTCCTAGCTTTTTCTTTGCGACTCACAAAAAAGTGGAAAACCACTGCGCAATTTTAGGGCCTTTAAAAAGGAGGATACACTCTGTCTCCTTTAACAACAACAAATCTTTTATAGGGCTGTTGCAGTTCCTGCACGGGCATACTGCACGGTGTGCATTATCGTTGACATCAGCATCACAGGCGATATATTTTGCAGCTGTACTTCACCATCCAGTTCTGTTTGCACTGGCTGCAGCTTTTTTACTCATTCACTGCTGCTGTGCAGCCACGCACTTGTATCACGCAACACGAAACCGCTTTGCACTATCACTTCCGCCCAGCCACTGATATTCCAGCGCAGGATTGAAGATGGATCCACTACTGCATTCATTTGTGTTGATAATCAATAAATGCTCAGATCCCCAGTCTATAGCGTTTTTGCACACCATACAGACAGGAGCTGGGCCGAAAAGGAAAGCACAGAAAGCCCAAGGGAACTATGGCTTATCTAAATGAAGGGCACACCTCAAATTCTTGGTAGCTTTGTGCGACATTATTTACAATTCCGGGCATTTTTAGTGCTCAAAAAATGTGTGTTTGCTTAACTTTATTTTTGCGTTTTTACGCGTTTTTTGCAGCCATGCAATGCGAATTATGCGTTTTTTGCAGCCATGCAATGCGAAAAACGCATATTGACGAGAGGTTGTCTGTGTGTTTGTCTGTCTGTGTGTTTGTGTGTTTGTCTGTGCGCTGCGCGCCTGTACCGACTTTACATCTCGAGACCCACAAAAGCTACAGGGCTGAAACTTTGGGGACTTAATCTACATACACGTACGGGCCCCGATCCCCAAAATGGGCGGTCTTTCCCGCGTGGTATCCACGTAAGAGTCCGCCAAAGCTTTTTACGGGTAAGCTGCTAACTCACGAACCAGAAAAGCTAGAGAGCTGAGATTTTAAGGGAATGTTTCTCGTCCAAGTAGGTACCAATGAGCCGAAACCCAACCCCGGGGTAAGCGTCGTACCCGCTTACGTCCCGCGCAAATTCATAACTCGGGGATTTGAGATGCTAGAAGACTGTAACATTAAGAGGGTGTTTCTCGCCCACATTAGCCTCAACGAGATCGAACCCAGCCTTCGATCATGCGTGGTACCTACGCACGGGTTCACCAAATTTCTTCTCGGGTAAGCTCATAACTCGAGAACCTGTAAAGCTAAAAGACTGTAGTTTTAAGAAGATGTCCCCCGTCCAATTAAGTCTCAATGGGCTCAAACCCAGACATCGGGCATGC